TCTTCTTTGCGGCCTCATTTTGCCAACATTCAGACGAATAATGACCGAACTTACTGTAGGTATAACATTGGATATTCCTCTTATCAACATTCTTTCTTCCTCTTCCTCTCATTTGCTTTCCGCCTCTTTTGCTTCCATCTTTGTGTTCACTGTGTTCCTCTTCAACATTTTGATCAGAGACATTCGGATTCCTACCTCCGATTCAACCTCCCCGTGCTCGACCTCTACTTCTTCCAATGCTTCGTCCTCTAGGTTTAAATCTGCTTCTTGCTTGTAAAGCTTGATTCAAACTTGTTTCATTTTCGGTTTTCTTCCTTTCAAGCAAGCGTTGTTCATGAGCTTCTAGCGAGTTCTGCAACTCTTCCACTTTCATGTCTTCCACGTTTTTGCTTTCTTCAATTGCTACAACAATATGATCGTATTGTAGAGTTAGTGTTCTAAGAATCTTCTCCACGATTTTCTTGTCCTTTACCACCTTGTCGCACGCTTTCATGGCATTCACCACCATTTGTATCCTACATATATACTCAACAATCGATTCTTGTTCTCCCATGCCTAAGAGTTCGTATTGTCGTTGGAGCGACTGTAGTTTGATCTTCTTCACCTTGCTTGTGTTGTCGTAGCCTTCTTGAAGAATGTCCCAGATTTCTTTCGTCGTGTCTGCCTTTGACACCTTTTGGAAGATGGTGGCCGACACGCATTGGTGTAGCAGCATTCGGGCTTTACAATATAATTTCTTGTTCTCTTTACACTATCGCTTTGTTTCTTCAGAATCCCCCTTCAATGGCTCTTTAAAACCCTTCTTGACCACTTCATCTACTTCTTGAAATCCAAGAATGACATTCATCTTTACACACCAGTCGTCGAATCCTTTTCCGTCGAACACCGGAAGATTACTGTTATCACGCCAGTCATTTCTTCTTGATCGGTTACTGATCCACCAGGTTTTCGAACCTGGCTCTGATACCACTGTTGACGTTGGCGGACGCAGGTATGCGAGATGAAAATAGTGCAGAGGATGTGTGAGAGAGAGAGAGAGAGAGCGAGCGAGCGGAAAACAGATATTAGAATGAAAGGTAAATTGTATTATTCAAAAACTAACTGAAAGAAGAAATAGTAAAAGAGTATATAAGCGGTCCAACGAGCGCACAATAACTAACGCTCGTCAGTTGGGGCGGTTGCTTTTAGTTTACAATAACAAACCATAAAAATAATTTAATAGTTTAAAACTTAATATGTCTATAAAAATATAAATAATAGACTTTGTAAACATATGGATAAAACATGTGCAAAAATAGAATAGACTATCTAAAAGTATAAAGGATATCAAGAAATATGTAGAGTTGACTTGCACTAGTAAAAAAAGCGTATTTTAACTTGCACATGACGCTTCAGTTTCAGAAAAACCGAAGCCTATAGACCAAACGGCTTCGGTTATTAACGAACCGATACCTAAAGACCGAATGGCCTCGATTTTTTGAGTGACTGAAGCAGTAGTTTACCGAAGGGTCTCGGTGAACGCCTAACTGAGGCATTTAGTCTTGTCTAAGAGACCGAACGACTTCGACTTTTTGTAGAACCGAAGCAATAGTTGATCGAACGACTTCGGTTGAGTGTCTAACCGAAGCATTTAGTCCTGTACAGACTGTACAGACCGAACGACCTCGCTTGTTTGCAGAACCGAGGCCTTTAGTCCTGTCATCTCTGCCACTAACGTACATACTGAAAGGACTGAACGACCTCTCTGCCACTAACGTATAGACTGAACAGACCGAACGACCTCGTTTGTTTGCAAAATCGAGGCAGTAGTTGACCGAACAACCTCGATTGGGCACCTAACCAAGACATTTAGTCTTGTCATCCCTGCAAATCCCTCTGCTGCCACTGTGACTGAAGAGACCGAACGACCTCTCTACCACTAACGTACAGACCGAACAGCCTCTCTTGTTTGTAGAACCGAGACGGTAGTTGATCAAACGGTCTTGGTTGGGCGCCTAGCCGAGGCATTTAGTCCTATCATCCCTACAAATCCCTTTGCTGCCACTGAGACTAAAGTGACCGAATGGCCTCTCTGCCACTAACGTATAGACTGAATAGACCGAACGACCTCTTTTGTTTGCAGAACCGATACCGTAGTTGACCGAACAGCCTCGGTTGGGCGCCTAACCGAGGCATTTAGTCCTGTCATCCCTGCAAATCCCTCTGCTACCACTGTCATGTAAAGACTGAAGAGACCAAACAACCTCGCTTTTTTGCAAAATCAAGGCAATAATTGACCGAAAGACTTCGGTTGAACGCCTAACCGAGGCGTATAGGTTTAAATTATTTTTAAAAATGTCATTCATTGAAACTATTACGCATCGGTTGACTGAACGGCCGAGGTAGTAGAGCATTTATGGCACTACACCTCCACTTTCGCGAACAGTTTTCTTCACGTGATCTTTCTTCTTCCTTTAAGCAAACACTATTCTCCAGCACTATCCACTGCTTGCGCCTCCCTCTGCGCGTTCGTCGCACCTCCTTCGTCGTTCTCGCCCCGCCTCCGTGGCCACTGTTGGACCGCCTCCTTCGCTCCTCCCTCACGAGGACTCGCTCATATCTCGTTACCGTGGGTCGTTGCACTAGCGTTCATTGCTACCACCTTTGTTGTTGTCGCGTCATTGCTGTCGTTGTTGCTGCCTTCGCCGATGCTTCCATCTCGCTGCCTGCATTGCTCTCTAGGCTGCACCACTGTTTCCGTCGCCACTACCAGGTGCACCACTGCCGCTCTCTAGGGTTTTGAGTTTGGGAAATTTCTTTTTAGGGATCCGTTCGAGTTGTTTTGGTCCGTGAGGGTTGTTGATGGTTGCGCCAGTTGGAGAAGAAGACCTCGCGTGGTGGCCTGTGGTGGTCCGGTAAAGGTGGCACGGTTGTTGGGTGGTGGTCTGGTAAATGTGGCACGACAAAGGTCTCGCGAGAGGCGAAAAAGGAGGACGTAGGTCACAACCAATCAGTCTCGCGAGAGGCGGAAAAGCTGGCGAAACCAATTGGTTAAAAAAATAAAATAAAAAATACTTTAGTGCCTCGGTTCATGTCCCAACCGAGGCATTTCAGTTTGAGATACTGCCTCGGTTCAGAAGGAACCAAGGCGAAAACCGATCCCTTTTTAATATTTTAAATATAAGTTATTTATATCTATTTTTTTTTATTATATTTGTAGTTAGACTAGTCTATTCATTATAAATAATAATAATTATAATAATAATAATAATAATAATGATAATAATAATAATAATAATAATAATAATAATATTATTATTATTATTATTATTATNTTTGATTAGCTTATAAGGATGTTAATTCATCCTGAATGGCTTAAACCCATTGGGGATCTTTTGAAGCATGTGTGCAACTTTTGGGTTCATTAGAAGAAAAAATGGTCATGATAATATGTTTAAAATAGGAAGAAAGACGATTGTAATCTAAATAATTCTCAATAGGATATCTCACAACATTATTAGTTTAAAATCAAGAAGATAAGAAGCATGTTGTATGTTAGTGACATGATCAAAGATATTAGACTTAGAATCGGGAAAAACTAAATCATGTGAAACATAGTCAGAGGTAACATTAGTGATAGAATTATTAGGTATGTTAGCATCAGTTTGTTCATCAATATTGAGCATAAGAGTAGAAATATCAAGAAAAATATAGTCATTAGCATAGTTATTAGGTATAAGGAGAGAAAAATAGTTATTTTTAAAAGCACTAGGATTAGTGCTTATGCATTGATATGGAAAGTGATTTTCATAAAAAATAACATCACAAGAAATTTTAATTCTGTGATTGGTGAGATTAAGAATGAAGTAGCCTTTGGTACGAGGTTTGAAGACTAAAATGACGCCTAAGACAACTTTTGAGTAAAAAAATATCACAAAGCGAACCATGCAAAAGCTCATAAGGTGAATCATTATTTAGCAAAGGTGTACATTGCAATTGATAAGAAAGACAACATGTCATATTGAGCGATACGATTCTATCTAAGAAAGATTATGGTTGCTTCTAACTTTGAATCTCTTTCAAAATATGAACAAGAAAATCAAATAAAGAATACAAAGTTAGATAGGAATGAAATGACATCATAATCTAACATATTAATAAGTCAAACAAGATTCGCTACAAAAATGTTTGTTTTAGGTGTGGGGTCGGAGATCAGAATCAAAACACTCCTTCACACTTTTTCTCCAACTCTCTCAACGTCGTCTTTGATCTCCTTTGTCTTTATTCTGACGCTCTCCATTCGATCATCTTGAAATCTAGCCAAACAATTATCATAACACATTGATCCTAGGCCATTAGTCTATAATTGGCCAAAAATATGATACTTGTCATTTTTCTTCTTTTTCTAAGTGTATATTAAATGATTATACACTAATTTGGTGTTAAAGAATAATTTTCTATCTTTTATTATATTAATTTTTCTTAATTTCCATTTTTATTTATAATTTTAGAAAAACAATAATAGTTTCATTTTGGAATTAAACAACGTCACTTCTAACCCATCAAAGAAATGAGTTGTCTCACTTTCAATATGTATGACGCCGTGTTATATAATACATAGGATATATATATATTAATACTTACTTTTCTTATCTGTTTTATTTCATTACATTATATATTCTATAAATATATAACTTTTATTCTATATATATATACATAAGGAAATGATCAATATTTTAGGTGTTCATAAATCATTTTCATTTTCACAGTAGATATTGACGGTGCCGCATAAGGAGGAAGAAGGGTCCAATTAACGCATCCCAATTTCGTAAGGTGCAATAATTCAAATTCAAACTGAAAAAGGGTTAAGTATTCTAAATTTCGAAATTATGTTTTAGGAATCTTTATTCAGGTTACAAACATTTAGCATAAATTACAATGATTTTCCCGGCGCTGGCTGTTATTATAGCATGTAAATGTCACCTAACCTGGTTCAAGACCAAACCTGGGTAATGAGCATATATCATTTAACATTTGACATTAATTCACAAAATGGATCAGAAAATATAATCACTTCAACAAGAATTTGCAAGATTAAAATAATTAATACAGAAGAAAAATACTGTTTCTGTGGAATAAATCTCCACTATTCACATACAGTGTAGAAACATTTATAGACACAAACAACAACATTCGATGCAGTATGGTTTGATTAACAAGTGTATGATAATAGTAACATGACACAAACACAAAAATATGTCAAGTGACCAAGCGAAGAGAAATGCAGCCTATACAAAAGCACGCTCCACTCAGAATCACAAAAATTCAGAAATGCAAACTGCAGATTGTTTACACGACTTCTGCCACGCTGATCTCTTCAGTGCTTAGAGTTTGCTACAAGATTGGAGAAAAAAAAAAACCATAAGCTATATATTTTACTACATCGACAATTTAAAAGAAAACTAGAATTGTTACTTAGCAAGACATATATACCATATTTTCTTTGTTGCTCTTTGGTGCGCTAGCTGCGGCTGTGAGCAGAAAAAGAATTGTCGTAAGTGTTAGACTAAAAGAATTGCTACATTGTATCATAGATATAGCATAACACAAATATTGCTTTGCACATTTGGGAACTTGCCTTCTTTGACATCAGATTTCTTTTCCTGCTTCTTTACCATGCCCTTTTCCTTGTTTGATTCTTGCTTGCTTGGCTTCTCAGATTTTTTAACCAACCTATTATTCCTTTTGTCTAGAGAAGTCCTTGGAGTTGTGTTGTTGGTGCTGGTGCTGAAATTCCCTCTCAAACTGGATCTAAGATTACTCTTTTGATTCTTTGTTGACTCTGTTGAAGGTGTGAGTTTGGTAGAATTTAAGCTCCTGGGTTTCAGTTTTCTACTCTCAGTGGTAGAAGACGAGCTATGGACATCATCATCAGAAGACCGAGTTCCCTCTTCGGGCACATGTGAAATAGTTTCAGACAACTGCAACTGCTCCATGCTTTCTGAGATGCCATACCTCTCAAACAATGATTTCACAGTTTCACCAATGCCATCGTCAAGTTGATGTCTTCTCACATAAGATTTTAGCTCTTCTTGCATTGGCCCGAGAGGCTGTGATTCATATTCAAAGAAAAATAAATCATTAGAAAAATTGGCTCAGATATTGCAAACATACGAGTTGCTGTATTTGCACACAAGTTAGCAAATATGCCATATCAGATCCATAAACAATTGTGTATTTGTGTGTATTGTGTACCTCACATCCTGCCTCCAAAGCTAGTTTGAAGAAGGCAAGTGAAATTGAGTGCTTGGAAGCAGTTTCAGAGAGCTTAATCTGGTTCAACCAATATGAAGCCGAAGTTAGAAGATTTAACTTCGTTGTCTTGGAAATGTCAGAAATGGGTGTTTTGCTTCTGCCTTGACCTAAAGCACTCCTCAAAGTTCTGGTCTCGGAGATTGGGGTAATGTTGCCACCCAGCTTCGGTCTCGAAGTGGCTGGTGCTTTGGCAGGAATTGAGAGCCTTCTGGGTGGCTTGGCACTACCAGACTTCTCCTTGCCAGAAAAATCTAGAACACTCACACTTTTACTAACACTTGAAGCACCCAAACTTCTGCCCCTGAAGAGAAAACTGTAACTCTTTTAAAGACATTCATATATATCAAAAATTGACTCCTCCAATCATAATTTCTTATATTCCTCACATTTCTAAGCAACAAAGAACATAAATTTTAGTTTAAAATGTGAAAATTATTTGCCTTGACCTCAATTTTTAACAGAACCGAAACCCATAATTAAGTATTAGTGATTAGACAAAGTTCTTTAAAAACTGCTTGTTAGTTGCAGCAGTTCTAGAAACATTCAAACTGTCCATGTAACTTGTAGGTAAATCATCATACTTTTTCTCAAAAAATTAGGTAGCTATCATTAATATCATAAATAAGAATTCATGCCCAGATGATATTGTACAACTCCTCTAAACTGCAGATGAATAAATTAGTTTCTCTTTTCAGTGAGTCTGAAAATTAAACTAAAAGCAAAGCAATTACCTCTTTGATTCACAAGGATTGGAGAAATTGGGTGTATTATCTGACTTGTCTTCCTTGGATTTATTGCCAGAGCGAAGCGCATACTTCTGAAGCCTGGGTCTGGCAGTGTTCCCTGAATCATAAACCAAAACAGAACACTACCCATTTCAATTGTTATTGTAGGGTGAAAAGTAGAAAGAAAGGTGTAAGATTGAGAGAGTGTGTACCAGAGGAAGCAGTAGCAGCAGCAGAGGAGGACTGTTCGATGACGGGTTCTTCCATATCTGAATCTGAATTGCGAGAATGGGAAGCAAAGAACTTGTGATTAGATTAGATGCGTTGAGTGATTACGAGTTGATGATGATGTTACGGCGTTTGGAATTATTTATAGTAGAAGGTTGTGGCGTCCGGTTTGGGCTTGGGGCGGGAAAAACTCAAAATTTGGGAGGTTGATGTTGACCATGCTGACATGGAAAACAGAGGCTCTGTTGATGAACGGTTATGAAGGTGGAAACAGAGAGATGAAAAATGACATTGGTGGACCCATTTGCTAGCAATGCAGGGTTTGTTTTCTTCAACATGAGAGGCTCCCTCCGTTATTCGAAATTCAAATTTCAAAAATTAAGCTTTCGTTACGTTTCGGTTTAGAAAAGCAAGAGAGAACCGTTTGGGTCGGAGTTTGGAAACTGAGTTATACCAATAATTATTTCGCAGAAATTTGACTATTGCGTCCTTTGGCTGTAAAAAAGTTGGCAAGATAGGTTGAATATTTGTTGTTTCGAAGAGACCTCTTCCCTTTTATTTAAGTCAGCTTCAGATTCACTATCTTTACTCAATTCTAACATTTAACGTCTAAAGTAGTATATATTTCTGAATTAACTCAAAAAATAATTCTTTTAATATCAATAATCATCACACGCAAATGTCGTTCGTACTATTATTTTTAAATTAAAGAATTTCTTTTTGATTATTACTAAACACTCAAAGTAATTTTTTTTAAAATAATATATAGATATATGTATATGTATACTCGTTTAATGAAAAGAAAGAAATTTTGAAACATTCAAATTAAAAGGAGAAAGTTAAAGAGATCCATATAACATATAAGTAATCTTGTTCATCGAACCTGATTTAAAGATAATTTGTCCTGTAAATGTATATTCTTATGTTCTCATATACCCAAGTCATTATTGTATGATACTTTTATTATTTATTTTATTTTATTAAGGCCTTGTTCACTTGAGGGGATTTGAGGAGAGGAATTGAGGGGATTTGAGAGGATTTGAAAATAAATTTTTTTGTTGATTATTTGAGTGAATTTGGAGGTAAATGAGATTGGATTTGGAAGTAAATTTTTTTAATCTGTCACGTCAATCAAATCCTACAGTAATAATTCTCACAAACTTTACTTCCAAATTCATTCTCACTTACCTCCAAATTGACTCAAATAAACAACAAAAAAATTTATTTTCAAATCCTCTCAAATCCCCTCAATTCCTCTCCTCAAATCCCCTCAAGTGAACAAGGCCTTAATAAAATAAAATAAATAATAAAAGTATCATACAATAATGACTTGGGTATATGAGAACATAAGAATATACATTTACAGGACAAATTATCTTTAAATCAGGTTCGATGAACAAGATTACTTATATGTTATATGGATCTCTTTAACTTTCTCCTTTTAATTTGAATGTTTCAAAATTTCTTTCTTTTCATTAAACGAGTATACATATACATATATCTATATATTATTTTAAAAAAAATTACTTTGAGTGTTTAGTAATAATCAAAAAGAAATTCTTTAATTTAAAAATAATAGTACGAACGACATTTGCGTGTGATGATTATTGATATTAAAAGAATTATTTTTTGAGTTAATTCAGAAATATATACTACTTTAGACGTTAAATGTTAGAATTGAGTAAAGATAGTGAATCTGAAGCTGACTTAAATAAAAGGGAAGAGGTCTCTTCGAAACAACAAATATTCAACCTATCTTGCCAACTTTTTTACAGCCAAAGGACGCAATAGTCAAATTTCTGCGAAATAATTATTGGTATAACTCAGTTTCCAAACTCCGACCCAAACGGTTCTCTCTTGCTTTTCTAAACCGAAACGTAACGAAAGCTTAATTTTTGAAATTTGAATTTCGAATAACGGAGGGAGCCTCTCATGTTGAAGAAAACAAACCCTGCATTGCTAGCAAATGGGTCCACCAATGTCATTTTTCATCTCTCTGTTTCCACCTTCATAACCGTTCATCAACAGAGCCTCTGTTTTCCATGTCAGCATGGTCAACATCAACCTCCCAAATTTTGAGTTTTTCCCGCCCCAAGCCCAAACCGGACGCCACAACCTTCTACTATAAATAATTCCAAACGCCGTAACATCATCATCAACTCGTAATCACTCAACGCATCTAATCTAATCACAAGTTCTTTGCTTCCCATTCTCGCAATTCAGATTCAGATATGGAAGAACCCGTCATCGAACAGTCCTCCTCTGCTGCTGCTACTGCTTCCTCTGGTACACACTCTCTCAATCTTACACCTTTCTTTCTACTTTTCACCCTACAATAACAATTGAAATGGGTAGTGTTCTGTTTTGGTTTATGATTCAGGGAACACTGCCAGACCCAGGCTTCAGAAGTATGCGCTTCGCTCTGGCAATAAATCCAAGGAAGACAAGTCAGATAATACACCCAATTTCTCCAATCCTTGTGAATCAAAGAGGTAATTGCTTTGCTTTTAGTTTAATTTTCAGACTCACTGAAAAGAGAAACTAATTTATTCATCTGCAGTTTAGAGGAGTTGTACAATATCATCTGGGCATGAATTCTTATTTATGATATTAATGATAGCTACCTAATTTTTTGAGAAAAAGTATGATGATTTACCTACAAGTTACATGGACAGTTTGAATGTTTCTAGAACTGCTGCAACTAACAAGCAGTTTTTAAAGAACTTTGTCTAATCACTAATACTTAATTATGGGTTTCGGTTCTGTTAAAAATTGAGGTCAAGGCAAATAATTTTCACATTTTAAACTAAAATTTATGTTCTTTGTTGCTTAGAAATGTGAGGAATATAAGAAATTATGATTGGAGGAGTCAATTTTTGATATATATGAATGTCTTTAAAAGAGTTACAGTTTTCTCTTCAGGGGCAGAAGTTTGGGTGCTTCAAGTGTTAGTAAAAGTGTGAGTGTTCTAGATTTTTCTGGCAAGGAGAAGTCTGGTAGTGCCAAGCCACCCAGAAGGCTCTCAATTCCTGCCAAAGCACCAGCCACTTCGAGACCGAAGCTGGGTGGCAACATTACCCCAATCTCCGAGACCAGAACTTTGAGGAGTGCTTTAGGTCAAGGCAGAAGCAAAACACCCATTTCTGACATTTCCAAGACAACGAAGTTAAATCTTCTAACTTCGGCTTCATATTGGTTGAACCAGATTAAGCTCTCTGAAACTGCTTCCAAGCACTCAATTTCACTTGCCTTCTTCAAACTAGCTTTGGAGGCAGGATGTGAGGTACACAATACACACAAATACACAATTGTTTATGGATCTGATATGGCATATTTGCTAACTTGTGTGCAAATACAGCAACTAGTATGTTTGCAATATCTGAGCCAATTTTTCTAATGATTTATTTTTCTTTGAATATGAATCACAGCCTCTCGGGCCAATGCAAGAAGAGCTAAAATCTTATGTGAGAAGACATCAACTTGACGATGGCATTGGTGAAACTGTGAAATCATTGTTTGAGAGGTATGGCATCTCAGAAAGCATGGAGCAGTTGCAGTTGTCTGAAACTATTTCACATGTGCCCGAAGAGGGAACTCGGTCTTCTGATGATGATGTCCATAGCTCGTCTTCTACCACTGAGAGTAGAAAACTGAAACCCAGGAGCTTAAATTCTACCAAACTCACACCTTCAACAGAGTCAACAAAGAATCAAAAGAGTAATCTTAGATCCAGTTTGAGAGGGAATTTCAGCACCAGCACCAACAACACAACTCCAAGGACTTCTCTAGACAAAAGGAATAATAGGTTGGTTAAAAAATCTGAGAAGCCAAGCAAGCAAGAATCAAACAAGGAAAAGGGCATGGTAAAGAAGCAGGAAAAGAAATCTGATGTCAAAGAAGGCAAGTTCCCAAATGTGCAAAGCAATATTTGTGTTATGCTATATCTATGATACAATGTAGCAATTCTTTTAGTCTAACACTTACGACAATTCTTTTTCTGCTCACAGCCGCAGCTAGCGCACCAAAGAGCAACAAAGAAAATATGGTATATATGTCTTGCTAAGTAACAATTCTAGTTTTCTTTTAAATTGTCGATGTAGTAAAATATATAGCTTATGGTTTTTTTTTTTCTCCAATCTTGTAGCAAACTCTAAGCACTGAAGAGATCAGCGTGGCAGAAGTCGTGTAAACAATCTGCAGTTTGCATTTCTGAATTTTTGTGATTCTGAGTGGAGCGTGCTTTTGTATAGGCTGCATTTCTCTTCGCTTGGTCACTTGACATATTTTTGTGTTTGTGTCATGTTACTATTATCATACACTTGTTAATCAAACCATACTGCATCGAATGTTGTTGTTTGTGTCTATAAATGTTTCTACACTGTATGTGAATAGTGGAGATTTATTCCACAGAAACAGTATTTTTCTTCTGTATTAATTATTTTAATCTTGCAAATTCTTGTTGAAGTGATTATATTTTCTGATCCATTTTGTGAATTAATGTCAAATGTTAAATGATATATGCTCATTACCCAGGTTTGGTCTTGAACCAGGTTAGGTGACATTTACATGCTATAATAACAGCCAGCGCCGGGAAAATCATTGTAATTTATGCTAAATGTTTGTAACCTGAATAAAGATTCCTAAAACATAATTTCGAAATTTAGAATACTTAACCCTTTTTCAGTTTGAATTTGAATTATTGCACCTTACGAAATTGGGATGCGTTAATTGGACCCTTCTTCCTCCTTATGCGGCACCGTCAATATCTACTGTGAAAATGAAAATGATTTATGAACACCTAAAATATTGATCATTTCCTTATGTATATATATATAGAATAAAAGTTATATATTTATAGAATATATAATGTAATGAAATAAAACAGATAAGAAAAGTAAGTATTAATATATATATATCCTATGTATTATATAACACGGCGTCATACATATTGAAAGTGAGACAACTCATTTCTTTGATGGGTTAGAAGTGACGTTGTTTAATTCCAAAATGAAACTATTATTGTTTTTCTAAAATTATAAATAAAAATGGAAATTAAGAAAAATTAATATAATAAAAGATAGAAAATTATTCTTTAACACCAAATTAGTGTATAATCATTTAATATACACTTAGAAAAAGAAGAAAAATGACAAGTATCATATTTTTGGCCAATTATAGACTAATGGCCTAGGATCAATGTGTTATGATAATTGTTTGGCTAGATTTCAAGATGATCGAATGGA